TCTATATAATACAAGTACAGAGACAAGACCATTTGTCAGAAGAAGGAAGTTAAGGTAACATGCATTAATGGGACATGAATGAAACCATTTGTTAATCTAAGCTGATTACGCAAATCACTTATTATCAGGCTGGCCCCAATAAGTCCATTAAAATGCTCCAATTAATTCTGTTTCCTCTTTGATAAGCTTATAGTTAGGGCTGGATCCAGGTGAGTCCCTGGAACCATCTCTTAGTTATGCTGCTTTAGGCCTAGACTAATCGGGGAATATCCCATGGGTGCACTGAGCTCTCTCTTCCTCTCTCTCTCTTTTCTGCACTCATTCATGTCCCATTAATGCATGTTATAACTTCACTTCTTCCCTGGGTTTCTTGGTGCTTTATCGTCTACCAGGTTTGTAAAATCAACTGATATTATTGTTATTGCTACAGTTACTGTTATCAGCTGCTCAGAGTATATACAAACTTTATTATCCACTGTACAAACCACCAGAGGAGGAGGAGAAGGAAGAGGAGGAGGATAGGTTAGAGGGGAGGAAGAGGAGGAGGATGAGGAAGAGGAGCAGTGAGGAAGGAGGAGGCGGAGGAGGAGGAGGAGGTGCCTCACTGACCAGAGACGTTGGTGTTTCTATTTGCAGGATGATGGATGGTTTCCTGTTGGCACGGCGGACCGTTCTTGAGACGAAGGAAGGAAACGGAGAGAGACGGCGGAGGAGAAGGAGGTGGAGAAAGGGTGTGAGACACCAGTGAGCTGACAAATACGACAGAGGAAAGAAGGAGGACACAAGGAGAGAGAGGAATGATGCATTTGAGACAAATCTGGACCTGGGAATATTGAACTCTTTTTTCCTCTGCTGATCAATGTTTAGTGTTATCAATAAATGAATCAGCACTGAATATTGGAAACAAGCTCGACTCTGATTGACACAACAACAATACACACAAGTTTCTGCATTTTATTCAGTTTAACTCTGTAAATAAACAAGTCAGTGGTGTGTTTACTACTTTTATAATGTTATGTAAAAATCATAGGTGTGTAAATGTTACGTATATTATTTATTTATTATATTAATGTCATTAAAAAGCTGCAGAACATGAGGTGAATTCTGTCATGTTTTAATATTTAATGAAGCTCATTTATCATAATTATTGTGTGATTCTGCAGGAATCTGCCCGCCAGTGGAGGCCTCACTGGGACCAGTTCACAATAGAAGATATCTGGGACCACAGGGATCTGGACGCCACAGGGATCTGGACCCACACAGATTGGACGCCACAGGATCTGGACCCCACACAGGTCCAGATCCCTGTGGGTCCAGATTCAGCTCCAGGTGAACTGGTCCCAGTGAGGCCTCCACTGGACGGGCAGATCCTGCAGAATCACACAATAATTATGATAAATGAGCTTCATTAAATATAAAAATGACAGAATTCACCTTCATGTTCTGCAGCTTTTTAATGACATTAATAAATAAAATAATATACGTAACATTTACACACCTATGATTTTTACATAACATTATAAAAGTAGTAAACACACCACTGACTTGTTTATTTACAGAGTTAAACTGAATAAAATGCAGAAACTTGTGTGTATTGTTGTTGTTGTCAATCAGAGTCGAGCTTGTTTCCAATATTCAGTCTGATTCATTTATTGATAACACTAAACATTGATCAGCAGAGGAAGAAAAGAGTTCAATATTCCCAGTCCAGATTGTCTCAAATGCATCATT